AAAAGCACCTTTACCACCATCATTTAACATTTCTTGTACAGTTCATTTCTAAAAATAATAAACATTTGTGAACTTAATATGCACCCCTGACGGGTATCCACATTACAGGTGAAGCATGATGACAGCCCACAGTTTGTTCTTACACAGGAGGAAAGTTGAGAATACACCGAGACAATAATGTTGTAATACTTGCCAGATACTCCAGCATCATGAAGAGATCTTAAAAGCACATCATGTTTTATTTTATCAAAGGCCTTTGAAAAGTTTGTCAAACAACTAAAACATATCTGACAAATATTCTACAATTCACAGAATTTGAAAGCTGTCCACACTCCTTCACTGATACACCAACTTCCACCACACTGCACTCAGTCGCTTACATTCGATCTGTTAAGCTGGCGGGCCCGTGTACGAACTACACAATATGTCGGAAAGCGAGCGTTACATCTCCAAATTATCATCACTGAATGATAATTAACAACACAAACATCGCAGAAGTTTAACACCACACACACACGCACGCACGCACACGCACACACGTACATACACACACATACACACGCACACACACATTTGTATTTTTGTGTATGAAAACTGCGCACATTTCGAGTAAAAGAATAGAGTTAAAAAGGGATAATCTCTTTAAAAATTTCAAACAAAACAGTTTACCCTATTGCTTCTAAAAACGTCATCCAATTGTAAAACTATGCAAATGAGGCTGACGCCCCGTCCCCTAGAAAAGACCCCAACATCCCACACCTCCAATCTACCTTCAATACAAAATTAACACCTATAAACCGATATGGGATCTGGGATAAAGTCAGGAAAAGTTTATGAAACAAAAAGTTATTACTGTTTGTGACTAAGAAGAATATTATATTCAAGCCTTGTTCTTTAGGTATATGTTTTTCATAGAATTTGAATTATTCAATATAATCGAAAATGCAGCTCATGTCGGTTTACATAGGGGCGGAAAACATTTGGTAGTCTAACGTAATAAATGTTTCCGAAACTGAAACCTTCTAAAAACCAGAATCATGATTTCGTTCTATACACACGGTAAAAAGTAACGCAACACCTATGATTTCTAACCGCAATATAGCCATATATATTCATATCAAAATTACGTTTGTTTGTTTGATTATTTTGACCCTTCGGACGCACCATACATTGATTTTAGCTATGCATGTGCAAGGATCAAAGGCGATCATCATGGGCAATAACCGTTATTAAGCAAATCTCAAGTGTCAGTTTCATAGCTTAGAAATTCAATTTATTTCGTTGTTGGGCAAAATATGGGGCCTCCTCAACAGCTCAAAGATGCCAAGTTATTGTAGGCAGAATGCTGAGATCCTAATATTCAAAATCACCATGAATTGACACAAGTAATTCATGAAGAATTGCTGAAGATTCCGTTGCTACAATTCGACGCTGTATTGCCAGTGCATAGATGTTATTCTTGCGAGGGGTGACTACACCAGGTACTGAAGTGGTGGCCAGAGGTAGTTCATACAAAACAATCACAACAATCATTATTTGAGAACTGTGTAACAATCAGATTGGTGGCGTAGTCATGGTGAGGGGAGGTGAAATTGGGTTTAACGTTGTGCTTGAGAATATTTCGCTCATACGACGACGTGCATGCGTGTGTATGTGTATGTGCGGCTGCTTGTACCAGCCCAGACTTAAGCTAGTTTTATAGTGCTAGCCCACTGAGATACCATGCCGCAGTGAAGCATGAATACCCCACTCACACACATTATACTGACTCCAAGCCGACCAGTCCTTGTTGTACCCATTAATGCCGAGCGCCAGGCAGGGACCAACAAGTACATATTTTAACGTCTTTTGGTATGACGCGGTCGGGGATCGAACCCGCGACCTTCCACTCTCCGGGCGGACGCTCTAACCACTACTCCACGGAGGCGGTCCGTAGTCATGGTGACCATACTTTACAGCACTTTGTGTATTCCTCTCAGTGAGTTTAGTTTTAAGCCGCATCCAGCAATATTCCAGCTATGTGGCGGCGGTCTGTAAATAATCGAGTCTGGATAAGACAATCCAGTGATCAACAGCATGACCATCGATTTACGTATTCCTCTCAGATTACAGATAAATTGTCACCAACTGTCAATGTTTGTTTGTTGTGTAACGCTAAATGACTGCGGTCTGTAAATATTTGAGTCTGGAGCAGACCATCCAGTTATCAACAACATGATCAACGATCTGTGCATTTTGGATACGAAGACATATGTCAACCAATAGCAAGCCTGATCATCCCGTTAGTCGGCATGGGTTACTGAAGACCAATTCTAACCCGGAAGTTCACGTATGAAAAAGGACGGGGAAGTTTTATAATACTAAGGCAGTGATCAAAACATATTATTTATTCCATATGATTCATGAAAAACTTCCTTTTATCAGAAAACACATTCAAATATAAGCGGATGATTTTCAAGTCTCGCATGAATAATCCATTACAGTTTGTCCCGAGTGGAGCGTTACTCACAGTGTTCTCGCCGGACACGATGCCTTTTATTTCCTTGTTAGTTTTGTACTTAGCTGCCGACCCCATGAACAAGTACTGGAGCATGAAGACTTGGCGATCAACAATATTTGCAAAAACTAGGGTGATTTGTTTATGGTCGAGTTAACGTTTTTATTGGATTACATACGTTTACTTTTATTCAAATAACCAGGGCCTCACAAAGTTTGCGTTTGTTGAAAATATCGTGAAAATTATGAAGTACCTTCCTTCCGCAAACAGCACTACGTCTGTTACATCCACTACCGCCACTAAGTCTGTTACATTCACTACCATCACTACGTCTGTTACATCCACTACCACCACTACTCCTGTTACATCCACTACCACCACTACGTCTGTTACATCCACTACCACCACTACGCCTGTTACATCCACTACCACCACTACGCCTGTTATATCCACTACCACCACTACGCTTCTTATATCCACTACCACGTCCACTTCTGTTACATCCACTACCGCCACAACGTCTGTTTCATCCACTACCAACACTACGCCTGTTACATCCACTACCACCACTACGTCTGTTACATCCTCTACCACCACGACGTCTGTTACATCCACTACCACCACTACGTTAGTTACATCCACTACCACTACAACGTCTGTTATATCCACTATCACCACTACGTCTGTTACATCCTCTACCACCACTACGTCTGTTACATCCACTACCACCACTACGTCTGTTACATCCACTACCACCACTACGTCTGTTACATCCACTACCACCACTACGTTTGTTACATCCACTACCACTACAACGTCTGTTATATCCACTACCACCACTACGTCTCTTACATCCACTACAACCACAACGTCTGTTACATCCACTACCACCACAACGCCTGTTACATCCTCTACCACTACTACGTCTGTTACATCCACTACCACCACAACGTCTGTTACATCCACTATCACCACAACGTCTGTTACATCCAATACCACCCCAACGCCTGTTACATTCTCTACCACTACTACGTCTGTTATATCCACTACCATCACTACGTCTGTTACATCCACTACAACCACAACGTCTGTTACATCAACTACCACCACTACGTCTGAGACATCAACTACCACCACTACGTCTGCTACATCCACTACCACCACAACGTCTGTTACATCCACTACAAGCACAACGTCTGTTCCATCAACTACCATCACTACGTCTGTTACATCCACTACCACCACAACGTCTGTTACATCCACTACCGTCACTACGTGTGTTACATCCACTACCACCACTACGTTTGTTACATCCACTACCACCACAACGCCTGTTACATCCTCTACCACCACAACGTCTGTTATATCCACTACCACCACTACATCTGTTACATCCACTACCACCACAACGTCTGTTACATCCACTACCACCACAACGTCTATTCATCCACTACCACCAATACGTCTGTTACATCCTCTACAACCACTACGTCTGTTACATCCACTACCACCACTACGTTTGTTACATCCACTACCACTACAATGTCTGTTACATCCACTACCACCACAACGTCTGTTACATCCACTACCACCACAAGGTTTGTTACATCCACTACCGCTACTACGTTTGTTACATCCACTACCACCACCACGTCTGTTACATCCACTACCACTACTACGTCTGTTACATCCACTACCACCACTACGTCTGTTACATCCACTACCACCACAACGTCTGTTACATCCACTACCACCACAAGGTTTGTTACATCCACTACCGCTACTACGTTTGTTACATCAACTACAACAACTACGTCTGTTACATCCACTACCACCACTACGTTTGTTACATCCACTACCACTACAATGTCTGTTACATCCACTACCACCACAACGTCTGTTACATCCACTACCACCACAAGGTTTGTTACATCCACTACCGCTACTACGTTTTGTTACATCCACTACCACCACCACGTCTGTTACATTCACTACCACTACTACGTCTGTTACATCCACTACCACCACTACGTCTGTTACATCCACTACCGCCACTACGTCTGTTACATCCACTACCGCCACTACGTTTGTTACATCCACTACCACCACCACGTCTGTTACAGCCACTACCACCACAACGCCTGTTACATCCTCTACCACCACAACGTCTGTTATATCCACTACCGCCACAACGTCTGTTACATCCACTACCACCACAACGCCTGTTACATCCTCTACCACTACTACATCTGTTACATCCACTACCACCACTACGTTTGTTACATCCACTACCACTACTACGTCTGTTACATCCACTACAACCACTACGTTTGTTACATCCACTACCACTACAATGTCTGTTACATCCACTACCACCACAACGTCTGTTACATCCACTACCACCACAACGTTTGTTACATCCACTACCGCTACTACGTTTGTTACATCCACTACCACCACTACGTCTGTGACATGAACTACCACCACAACGTCTGTTACATCAACTACCACCACTACGTCTGTGACATGAACTACCACCACAACGTCTCCTACATCCACTACCACCACAACGTCTGTTACATCCACTACAAGCACAACGTCTGTTACATCCACTACCACCACAACGTCTGTTACATCCACTACCGTCACTACGTGTGTTACATCCACTACCACCACTACGTTTGTTACATCCACTACCACCACCACGTCTGTTACAGCCACTACCACCACAACGCCTGTTAGATCCACTACCACCACTACGTCTGTTACATCCACTACCACGACCACTTCTGTTACATCCACTACAAGCACAACGTCTGTTACATCAACTACCATCACTACGTCTGTTACATCCACTACCACCACAACGTCTGTTACATCCACTACCGTCACTACGTGTGTTACATCCACTACCACCACTACGTTTGTTACATCCACTACCACCACCACGTCTGTTACATCCACTACCACCACAACGCCTGTTACATCCTCTACCACCACAACGTCTGTTATATCCACTACCACCACTATGTCTGTTACATCCACTACCACCACAACGTCTGTTACATCCACTACCACCAAAACGTCTATTCATCCACTACCACCAATACGTCTGTTACATCCTCTACCACCACTACGTCTGTTACATCCACTACCACCACTACGTTTGTTACATCCACTACCACTACAATGTCTGTTACATCCACTACCACCACAACGTCTGTTACATCCACTACCACCACAAGGTTTGTTACATCCACTACCGCTACTACGTTTGTTACATCCACTACCACTACTAAGTCTGTTACATCCACTACCAGCACAACGTCTGTTACATCCACTACCGCCACTACGTTTCTTACATCCACTACCACCACCACGTCTGTTACAGCCACTACCACCACAACGCCTATTACATCCTCTACCACCACAACGTCTGTTATATCCACTACCAACACTACGCCTGTTACATCCACTACCACCACTACGTCTGTTACATCCTCTACCACCACGACGTCTGTTACATCCACTACCACCACTACGTTAGTTACATCCACTACCACTACAACGTCTGTTATATCCACTATCACCACTACGTCTGTTACATCCTCTACCACCACTACGTCTGTTACATCCACTACCACCACAACGCCTGTTACATCCTCTACCACTACTACGTCTGTTACATCCACTACCACCACAACGCCTGTTACATCCTCTACCACTACTACGTCTGTTACATCCACTACCACCACAACGTCTGTTACATCCACTATCACCACAACGTCTGTTACATCCAATACCACCACAACGCCTGTTACATTCTCTACCACTACTACGTCTGTTATATCCACTACCATCACTACGTCTGTTACATCCACTACAACCACAACGTCTGTTACATCAACTACCACCACTACGTCTGAGACATCAACTACCACCACTACGTCTGCTACATCCACTACCACCACAACGTCTGTTACATCCACTACAAGCACAACGTCTGTTCCATCAACTACCATCACTACGTCTGTTACATCCACTACCACCACAACGTCTGTTACATCCACTACCGTCACTACGTGTGTTACATCCACTACCACCACTACGTTTGTTACATCCACTACCACCACAACGCCTGTTACATCCTCTACCACCACAACGTCTGTTATATCCACTACCACCACTACATCTGTTACATCCACTACCACCACAACGTCTGTTACATCCACTACCACCACAACGTCTATTCATCCACTACCACCAATACGTCTGTTACATCCTCTACAACCACTACGTCTGTTACATCCACTACCACCACTACGTTTGTTACATCCACTACCACTACAATGTCTGTTACATCCACTACCACCACAACGTCTGTTACATCCACTACCACCACAAGGTTTGTTACATCCACTACCGCTACTACGTTTGTTACATCCACTACCACCACCACGTCTGTTACATCCACTACCACTACTACGTCTGTTACATCCACTACCACCACTACGTCTGTTACATCCACTACCGCCACTACGTCTGTTACATCCACTACCGCCACTACGTTTGTTACATCCACTACCACCACCACGTCTGTTACAGCCACTACCACCACAACGCCTGTTACATCCTCTACCGCCACAACGTCTGTTATATCCACTACCGCCACAACGTCTGTTACATCCACTACCACCACAACGCCTGTTACATCCTCTACCACTACTACATCTGTTACATCCACTACCACCACTACATTTGTTACATCCACTACCACTACTACGTCTGTTACATCCACTACCACCACAACGTCTGTTACATCCACTACCACTACTAAGTCTGTTACATCCACTACCACCACAACGTCTGTTACATCCACTACCGCCACTACGTTTGTTACATCCACTACCACCACCACGTCTGTTACAGCCACTACCACCACAACGCCTATTACATCCTCTACCACCACAACGTCTGTTATATCCACTACCACCACTACGTCTGTTACATCCACTACCACCACAACGTCTGTTAGATCCACTAACACCACAACGTCTGTTACATCCACTACCACCACTACGTTTGTTACATCCACTACAAGCACAACGTTTGTTACATCAACTACCACCACTACGTCTGTTACATCCACTACCACCACAACGTCTGTTACATCCACTACCACTACAATGTCTGTTACATCCACTACCACCACAACGTCTGTTACATCCACTACCACCACAAGGTTTGTTACATCCACTACCGCTACTACGTTTGTTACATCAACTACAACCACTACGTCTGTTACATCCACTACCACCACTACGTTTGTTACATCCACTACCACTACAATGTCTGTTACATCCACTACCACCACAACGTCTGTTACATCCACTACCACCACAAGGTTTGTTACATCCACTACCGCTACTACGTTTTGTTACATCCACTACCACCACCACGTCTGTTACATCCACTACCACTACTACGTCTGTTACATCCACTACCACCACTACGTCTGTTACATCCACTACCGCCACTACGTCTGTTACATCCACTACCGCCACTACGTTTGTTACATCCACTACCACCACCACGTCTGTTACAGCCACTACCACCACAACGCCTGTTACATCCTCTACCACCACAACGTCTGTTATATCCACTACCGCCACAACGTCTGTTACATCCACTACCACCACAACGCCTGTTACATCCTCTACCACTACTACATCTGTTACATCCACTACCACCACTACGTTTGTTACATCCACTACCACTACTACGTCTGTTACATCCACTACCACCACTACGTTTGTTACATCCACTACCACTACAATGTCTGTTACATCCACTACCACCACAACGTCTGTTACATCCACTACCACCACAACGTTTGTTACATCCACTACCGCTACTACGTTTGTTACATCCACTACCACCACTACGTCTGTGACATGAACTACCACCACAACGTCTGTTACATCAACTACCACCACTACGTCTGTGACATGAACTACCACCACAACGTCTCCTACATCCACTACCACCACAACGTCTGTTACATCCCACTACAAGCACAACGTCTGTTACATCCACTACCACCACAACGTCTGTTACATCCACTACCGTCACTACGTGTGTTACATCCACTACCACCACTACGTTTGTTACATCCACTACCACCACCACGTCTGTTACAGCCACTACCACCACAACGCCTGTTAGATCCACTACCACCACTACGTCTGTTACATCCACTACCACGACCACTTCTGTTACATCCACTACGAGCACAACGTCTGTTACATCAACTACCATCACTACGTCTGTTACATCCACTACCACCACAACGTCTGTTACATCCACTACCGCACTACGTGTGTTACATCCACTACCACCACTACGTTTGTTACATCCACTACCACCACCACGTCTGTTACATCCACTACCACCACAACGCCTGTTACATCCTCTACCACCACAACGTCTGTTATATCCACTACCACCACTATGTCTGTTACATCCACTACCACCACAACGTCTGTTACATCCACTACCACCAAAACGTCTATTCATCCACTACCACCAATACGTCTGTTACATCCTCTACCACCACTACGTCTGTTAAATCCACTACCACCACTACGTTTGTTACATCCACTACCACTACAATGTCTGTTACATCCACTACCACCACAACGTCTGTTACATCCACTACCACCACAAGGTTTGTTACATCCACTACCGCTACTACGTTTGTTACATCCACTACCACCACTACGTCTGTTACATCAACTACCACTACTACGTCTGTTACATCCACTACCACCACTACGTCTGTTACATCCACTACCGCCACTACGTCTGTTACATCCACTACCGCCACTACGTTTGTTACATCCACTACCACCACCACGTCTGTTACATCCACTACCGCCACTGCGTTTGTTACATCCTCTACCACCACAACGTCTGTTATATCCACTACCGCCACAACGTCTGTTACATCCACTACCACCACAACGCCTGTTACATCCTCTACCACTACTACATCTTTTACATCCTCTACCACCACTACGTTTGTTACATCCACTACCACTACTACGTCTGTTACATCCACTACCACCACAACGTCTGTTACATCCACTACCACTACTACGTCTGTTACATCCACTACCACCACAACGTCTGTTACATCCACTACCGCCACTACGTTTGTTACATCCACTACCACCACCACGTCTGTTACAGCCACTACCACTACGACGCCTATTACATCCTCTACCACCACAACGTCTGTTATATCCACTACCACCACTACGTCTGTTACATCCACTACCACCACAACGTCTGTTAGATCCACTAACACCACAACGTCTGTTACATCCACTACCACCAATACGTCTGTTACATCCTCTCCCACCACTACGTCTGTTACATCCACTACCACCACTACGTTTGTTACATCCACTACCACTACAATGTCTGTTACATCCACTACCACCACAACGTCTGTTACATCCACTACCACCACAACGTTTGTTACATCCACTACCGCTACTACGTTTGTTACATCCACTACCACCACTACGTCTGTTACATCCACTACAACCACAACGTCTGTTACATCAACTACCACCACTACGTCTGTGACATGAACTACCACCACAACGTCTCCTACATCCACTACCACCACAACGTCTGTTACATCCACTACAAGCACAACGTTTGTTACATCAACTACCACCACTACGTCTGTTACATCCACTACCACCACAACGTCTGTTACATCCACTACCGCCACTACGTGTTTTACATCCACTACCACTACAACGTTTGTTACATCCACTACCGCCACTACGTCTGTTACATCCACTACCGCCACTACGTTTGTTACATCCACTACCACAACTACGTCTGTTATATCCACTACCACCACAACGTCTGTTACATCCACTACCACCACTACGCCTGTTACATCCTCTACCACCAAGACGTCTGGTACATCCACTACCACCACTACGTTTGTTACATCCACTACCACTACAATATCTGTTACATTCACTACCGCCACTACGTCTGTTACATCCACTACCACCACTACGTCTGTTACATCTACTACCACCACTACGTCTGTTATATCAACTACCACCACTACGTCTGTTACATCCACTACCACCGCTACGTCTGTTACATCCTCTACCACCACTACCTCTGGTACATCCACTACCACCACTACGTTTGTTACATCCACTACCAGTACAACGTCTGTTATATCCACTACTACCACTACGTCTGTTACATCCACTACCACCACAACGTCTGTTACATCCACTACCACCACTACGTCTGTTACATCCACTACCATCACTACGTCTGTTACATCCTCTACCACTACTACGTCTGTTACATCCACTACCACCACTACGTCTGTTATATCCACTACCACCACTACGTTTGTTACACCCACTACCACTACAACGTCTGTTACATCCACTACCACCACTACGTTTGTTACATCCACTATCACCACCACGTCTGTTACAGCCACTACAACCACAACGTCTGTTACATCCTCTACCACTACTACGTCTGTTACATCCACTACCACCACAACGTCTGTTACATCCACTACCACCACAACGCCTGTTATATCCACTACCGCCACAACGTCTGTTACATCCACTACCACCACAACGCCTGTTACATCCTCTACCACTACTACATCTGTTACATCCACTACAACCACAACGTCTGTTACATCAACTACCACCACTACGTCTGTGACATCAAGTACCACCACTACGTCTGCTACATCCACTACCACCACAACGTTTGTTACATCCACTATCGCTACTACGTTTGTTACATCCACTACCACCACCACGTCTGTTACAGCCACTACCACCACAACGCCTGTTAGATCCACTACCACCACTACGTCTGTTACATCCACTACCACCACTACGTCTGTTACATCAACTACCACCACTACATCTGCTACATCCACTACCACCACTACAACTGTTATATCCACTACCACCACTACGTCGCTTACATCCACTGCCACGACCACTTCTGTTACATCCACTACAGCCACTACATCTGTTACATCCACTACCACCACTACGCCTGTTATATCCACTACCGCTACTGCGCTTGTTATATCCACTACCACGACCACTTCCGTTACATTCACTACCGCCACTACGTCTGTTACATCCACTACCACCACTACGTCTGTTACATCTACTACCACCACTACGTCTGTTATATCAACTACCACCACTACGTCTGTTACATCCACTACCACCGCTACGTCTGTTACATCCTCTACCACCACTACCTCTGGTACATCCACTACCACCACTACGTTTGTTACATCCACTACCAGTACAACGTCTGTTATAACCACTACTACCGCTACGTCTGTTACATCCACTACCACCACAACGTCTGTTACATCCACTACCACCACTACGTCTGTTACATCCACTACCATCACTACGTCTGTTACATCCTCTACCACTACTACGTCTGTTACATCCACTACCACCACTACTACGTCTGTTATATCCACTACCACCACTACGTTTGTTACACCCCACTACCACTACAACGTCTGTTACATCCACTACCACCACTACGTTTGTTACATCCACTATCACCACCACGTCTGTTACAGCCACTACAACCACAACGTCTGTTACATCCTCTACCACTACTACGTCTGTTACATCCACTACCACCACAACGTCTGTTACATCCACTACCACCACAACGCCTGTTATATCCACTACCGCCACAACGTCTGTTACATCCACTACCACCACAACGCCTGTTACATCCTCTACCACTACTACATCTGTTACATCCACTACAACCACAACGTCTGTTACATCAACTACCACCACTACGTCTGTGACATCAAGTACCACCACTACGTCTGCTACATCCACTACCACCACAACGTCTGTTACATCCACTACAAGCACAACGTCTGTTACATCCACTAGTACCACTACGTCTGTTACATCCTCTAGTACCACTACGTCTGTTACATCCACTACCACCACTACGTTTGTTACATCCACTACCACTACAACGTCTGTTACATCCCTACCACCACTACGTCTGTTACATCCACTACCACCACTACGTCTGTTACATCCTCTACTACCACTACGTCTGTTACATCCACTACCACCACTACGTTTGTTACATCCACTACTACTACAACGTCTGTTACATCCACTACCACCACTACGTCTGTTACATCCACTACCACCACTATGTCTGTTACATCCACTACCACAACTACGTCTGCTACATCCACTACCACCACAACGTCTGTTACATCCACTACAACCACAACTTCTGTTACATCAACTACCGCCACTACGTCTGTTACATCAACTACCACCACTACATCTGCTACATCCACTACCACCACTACAACTGTTATATCCACTACCATCTCTACGTCCCTTACATCCACTGCCACGACCACTTCTGTTACATCCACTACGGCGACTACGTCTGTTACATCCACTACCACCACTACGCCTGTTACATCCACTACCACCACTACGCCTGTTATATCCACTACCACCACTACGCTTGTTATATCCACTACCACGACCACTTCTGTTACATCCACTACCGCCACTACGTCTGTTACATCCACTACCACCACTACGCCTGTTACATCCACTACCACCACTACCTCTGTTTCATCCACTACCACCACTGCATCTGTTACATCCACTACCACCACTACGTTTGTTACATCCACTACCACCGCTACATCTGTTACATCCACTACCACCACTACGTCTGTTACATCCACTACCACCACTACATCTGTTACATCCACTACCACCACTACGTTTGTTACAGCCACTACCACCACTACGCCTGTTACATCCACTACCACCACTACGCCTGTTATATCCACTACCACCACAACGTCTGTTACATCCACTACCACCACTACGTTTGTTACATCCACTACCACTACAACGTCTGTTATATCCACTACCACCACTACAACTGTTATATCCACTACCACCACTACGTCTGTTACATCCACTACCACCACTACATCTGTTACATCCACTACCACCAATACGTCTGTTACAGCCACTACCACCACTACCACCACTACTACTCACCACACTCACGTCTGTTACATCCACTACCACCACTACGTCTGTTACATCCACTACCACCACTACGTCTGTTACATCCACTACCACCACTACGTCTGTTACATCCACTACCACCACTACGTCTGTTACATCCACTACCACCACTACGTTTGTTACATCCACTACCACCACTACGCCTGTTACATCCACTACCACCACTACGCCTGTTATATCCACTACCACCACTACAACTGTTATATCCACTACCACCACTACGCCTGTTATATCCACTACCACCACTACGCCTGTTACATCCACTGCCACGACCACTTCTGTTACATCCACTACCACCACTACGTCTGTTACATCCACTACCACCACTACATCTGTTACATCCACTACCACCACTACGTTTGTTACATCCACTACCACCACTACGTCTGTTACATCCACTACCTGCAATACTTCTGTTACACCCACTACCGCCACTACGTTTGTTCCTTCCGCTGCAACCACTACATCTGTTACACCCACTACCGGCACTACGTCTGTTACATCCGCTACCGCTACTATGTCTGTTACATCCACTACAGTTACTAGTTGACACCTTGTTAATAGTACCCTTACGTATCGGTGAATGAGTGAGTTAGCCATTTTGGTTTCCTGCACAGCGGATCTTTGAGCTACCGAATAACGATATGCTATAGTTATTGTAAGGTGTTTTTCTCTTGTCTGTATAACGCCAGATACAGCTAAATAACTGAGTCTGGACGAGACAGCCCGGTAAACAAATGATCCACGTTGACGAGAAACGATGACCAAGTCAAGTCACCGATACAGTATTGAAAACGTGTGGTTACTGGTCTTAATACACGACTTCGTCTAGTTGATAATTTCGTGAGGCCTCCTCCTTGTTGAGAAGTAGAGACCTCACTTTAAGATGGGGAATTGTGTTGTTGGGGAACCTTGAAGAGAGAAGGAAACCGTGAGCACAGAATTGTGACGTGATCCGTTTATTTCTGGAGTGCAAGTGATAGTTACAGAACAATCAATAACATTGTATAATAACATAATATTTATAAGAATTCATATACCGTGCAATATATAAAATAAATGAAACGGAAGTTTGATAATTCGAAGATATTCATAAACAGTAAGTAATATTAAACATTCCATATTTAGAATTATTGCGGTAATGGCTTAACAACCTTTTTACAGTAAGTATGGTGTCACATATTTTCTCATTCACAATAAACTCATACAATGAAACACATGTGACATTCCATATTTAGAATTATTGCGGTAAAGGCTTAACAACCTTTTTACAGTAAGTATGGTGTCACATATTTTCTTATTCACAATAAACTCATACAATGAAACACATGTGACATCAAGACAATTATACATGAGTACAAGTTAATGATACACAATGTAGACAAAAGGGGCTCCTGGTGGATAGAGATTACGAGTGTGGCCGGAGGCTACTAAAGCAATGATCCACGAACTATCTTAATTAACTCCAGGTTCACATATGTAAAAGGTAGTTTGCGTGATACGCTGTACCTAGCCTATAGTTTAACATTGTCCATTAATGACTTGATAATTAAATCAAACAACACATTACACAATATAAATTACAATATGAACTCTACAAATCTGACACATTACATTTATCGTGAAGGGTGGTAATCATTTAGATGCGTCGCTTGTAATGAAGGGAGACAACGTCATGTCTTAACATACAAGTCGCAAAGGGCGATACAATGATTACTTTTATGAAATACTATTTGTCATAGAAATTCTATATTGCAGTTTACAATATAGTTTAACGTAATTGACCTAAACATTGCATACAAGTCTGGGAATACACCTTGTACACATTGGTCAAAGTAACGCTTATGTAACATTATAATAAAATCACTAATTGCAATAATACACCAGTATTGCATATAACAAAACAACATGTATACATCAATAAGAATTACTGAGCTGCTTATCTTGAAGAGAGAAGGAAACCGTGAGCACAGAATTGTGACGTGATCCGTTTATTTCTGGAGTGCAAGTGATGGTTAGGACCTACACCTGCCCTCCATATATACCCCTTAACCCGGAACACAGTGATTTGTCATCTCGTGCCACGCACACAGTTTCCATTCAAGATGACCAGCTCGCATGTCAAACATAAACCATCTTTGTTTTAACTGCCTATGTCCATCGTATAGACAGTGATGACCGGAGGGAAGAGTTACCTGTGCACAATAGCCCCATTGACTTTTTACATTTTATTGCACCGCAGTGCAGGCATAGATTTTCTGTGCAGTGACATGTTTGCCTAAAGCGATCACTGCCTATAATAAACCAAATGTATTGAGTGAGCATATGTTTGTACCCAAAAGAATTTAATATTATATCTATACGTTCGCAAACCAAATATTTACAATAAAGCTAAATTAATCAATTATATTTTATATATATTTGCTTAATTTTAGCACGATAACAATTCCCCCGGGACCTTAAAAACTTTTGTCCCCAAAAGAAATTTAATTACATGATGATGACAAATAACACAAAATGAAAAATAGACCTGACATATACATAATGACACATAATGGTTCTATAAAAAAAAGGTAAGGTTCAAACATATACTTGGGATACAAGGTGACCACAACAGGTCCAGAGTTATTCTATAACCTGGTAAAAGCCGTGGTGAATACACAAAATGTGTGCCTCATAAGGTTGTCTGAGGATTTTTCTTATCAAGTGGGCCTTAGATAAGGATAATGATAATTCCTCTGGAATTCTGAGAGTACAAGTGTTTCTGTTATTTGAGACCTTGAAATCTTTCCACTGGAGGTAAAGTTTTGGTCTTAGTACACCTTTAACTCTGACATTGCTTATTAAAGTTGGGGCCCTAATGTTCCAGTGAGATGGACATAATGATAATGATAATATTGGAATAATGGTACAAAGAGAACCTGTGGTTATCTCTAGAGCTAAAACGGTAGGCTGAGATTTTCCTTTACCTAGCATGTATAGTGCTATTACTAACAGAATTATTAGCATAGCAGCTATGCCTATAGGTATATTTTCATAAAAAGCAACTACAGATGATTGGATATCAATAGTTGGGACTGTAGAACTAAAATGATATTCAAAAG